TATATACTGTAACTGGTTAGGTCAGAGATAGATGTTTCTCACAGAGCTTTTGTGAAATTTGCTGAGATTATTTTAAAGTTTGATACAAGGGAAGCACGATGTAAAGCTAAACTGTAAAAGTGAGTGAAATAAGTAATACACAGCCATCCCGAAATTCCCTATTAAGCCTCCTGGTTGTCCCACATTTATTTATTTTTTTTTAGATCTGGTCACCCCACAGTAATTGCATTATATAGTGTCTAGTGTTAACATGTGCTAAATAGAAATGCACAAAATAAGATTCTTTCTACTTTAGAATTACACATTTCTTTGCACTAAAGACTTTACTGGTAAAAATATAAATAGAAGTATTGTGCAGTCTAAGTTATTTCTTAACATTTAAGTATCTCAGTAAAGTAAATTTATTTAATGTTCCAAACTTTGATCAATGACATTCAGAATAAAAACCATTTAGTCTGTTTAGTTTTATAAAAAGCAGGTGCTGATGATAGGATTTGATCAAACATCTTTTCTTGTTGTTGTTGAAAGATGGCGACCATGTTTGCGTTTGTGTTTTAGTTCATCCTTACTGCAGGATAATGTAGTAAGTAGTAGTTAAAAACATTGTGTTGCTTAGTTGAACATAATTCATCAGATGGCAAGTCATCTCTGTTCTTACTCACCTGTCTTATTGTCCTGTGCTTAACCAATTGTTAAAACATGTTTTATTTATTTTCATGAGTTATTTCCATTGCAAATGTTATGTATAAATATAAATAAAAATATATCACATTTGATTAACAGAGAGCTATGAATCTATTATTTTAAAAAAAATACTGAGCTTTTAGAATAAGTCACCTGACAAAAAAAACCTCACACTTATGGTTGAGTGTAGGATTTTCTGAGCTGGTATTAGTTGGAATAATTACAGAGTAGTTTTCTTCCCACTGCCTGGCTAAGTATTAGTGTGCAGATTGTCAACGCAATAGTGGAAAAGAACACCAGGAGGTTAGATTTTAACTCAAGAATTTTGTCAGAGATTTAAATGTTTGTTTTTTTTAACAGTTTTTTTAATTATTTTTACAGCAACTAATGAATACTGTATATTGCACTACTGCAGTAAGCTTGCTACATTTGGATGATGTTTTAGTTGGTCCTGGTTACAGGCAAAACTGAATAAAAAATCATTTATTTCTAACCAAAATTATATTCAAAATCAATATTATCTGTGGCCTGCTGCTCACTTAAATTGTTACAGTGCTAGAAAATGCTAAAAGCCACCTGACCTTTATTTAATTTTTGAATTGGGGAGAAGTTTTGATATAATCTTTGAGGGTTTCTTTATGAGGGACTAAATCCACAGAAACAGTTCCTTCTTTTTTAATGTGCAGTTCCATGTGCTTTTTACATTATTTGACTCAGACCATGAATAAATAAACAACAACTTTTCTATCAAGGACACAAACATTTTTAGGAGTTAACACGAAATCCACCAAATCAGATCGAAATCAACATATTGTGCCTAAAATCAAAATAAAGCACTGAATAAGATCGTGCCGTGTTCTTGCCCTGTGAAAAACGTGTTTCATCGGCTGACGCAGGTAACGTGAGGGTAAAAGAGACGGGGTCTAAGCTTGGGGGTTAGGGCAAGTGGATAATATCATCCAGATGTGTTCCAGATGTCAGAGTCTGAATACTTCACTTTGTATATCCAGAGGATATATACACAATGTTTTGCTTCCATGCTGTAAAGCACATTATGCTCATGGCAGTTTAAAGCCACACTGGAGCAGATAAGCATTTACACAATTATTAATTTGTGTTTAGTATTTCCTAGTCTGTCAATACTTGAAGGAAACCTGCATGTGCTCTTGCACTTAGCAATACTACTTAGAAATATTTTCATAGGATAGTATCTTCACCATCATCTCTTCATGTTGCATCTTCATACATTTTAAGCTCAATAAATGGAGCTATGAAGACTTCATTACTAATCTGAGTAACTATACAGAGCAAAAAGTAATCAGATCCTCTGTTGAATCAATGTACCCACAGAATTGCTGTCATTCAAAACACATGTTTGCCCTGTGTTTGACTTGGCCTAAAGAAATCAGGTTATTCTACCCATATATGTTGTCTAGTGTGTCTCCAGATTAATATGCATTTTCCTGAAGGGGACCAATCTTCTTCTTTTTTTTAAAACTCTTATATAAATAAAGTATATAAGAATAGTTAAGGCTATTGGCATGGTTAGAGACCTTAGGGTCAGTGTCTTTAACTGACCTCTGCTAACAACCGTTAGCAGGCAGGATAACACTGCACTAATGATCCGTTATTATGGTCAGTTTATAACAATGTTTTAAAGTTCTCATAAGGTTGGGGGAATATAATTCAGATTTTATTTGTTTCATCTTAGTAAAAAAAATACGTAATTGAGCCCAATGGGAAACCACTCTACCAACCTTTTCAATCTCAATTAAAGATCTCAAATTTTAACACTGTAAAAGCATTATAGCTAATCGAAGGTTTTAGACTTTTACAGTGTATTTTACTCCTACATATTTACATGATAAATGGCTTGTATTTTATAGCACTGAAAACCCTAAGGCACTTTACTCTACATTCAGTCATTTAGCCATACATTTACACAATGGTGACAAGCCCATTGTAGCCACAGCCGCCCTTGGTCAGAAACACAGAAGCTGCATAACATTTTAAGTGACATTTTTCTCTAAGAAAATCATATTAAAAAGTATTTATACCCCTCTCAATAATCAATACAAAGAAATCTCTATTGGCTTTTAGAGTAATTGAATCCATCTTACAATGGCTGATCAGCTTTTCTCATGTTTCCTTTAGTATCTTTATTAATGAGTCTTTGAGGTTCAAAGGCCTACTATAATTGCTTTTCATCCATATTCTCTATAAAATCAAGAGGGAGTCTGGAAAAGCCACAAGATCACTGAAGTAAACTGTTGTGGTCAAACTTGTCAAACATTTTGTTAAACCTTAATAGGTGTTTTCATTAGGCTTCTACAAATATTCATGGATTTGGCCAACCAAAGGCTGTTTCTAAATAAAAGCTCCAGACAACTCTAATTTCTTGCTCATAGTTTCATGGGGTTACACCAGTGGAAGTTCCTGATGTTTCTAATAGTTGCGTTTTTGCTTGGTGGGGTATTGGGCAAACGAAGGCTCAGCCCCCCCATGGCCCACTGGGTGCAAGACATGCCTATTTTCACCAAAAAATCCTGATAACATATGTTGCAAAATTTTTGGAGAAACATATTGGATGTAAAAAAAAAATAAAAAAAAGTTTAGTAATTGCAAATATGCTTCACCAAACACTTTTCTGTATTTTCTGACTTCCTGTTGGATAAAACTACTAGCAACCAAATATAAACAGTCAACAAAACAGAAGCAAGAAATATATTCTTTAAGAACCATTTGGATGCCGAGTGTTCACAATAGCCGGAGGACTAAGAGATCTGCTGATGCTCATCTGATCTGGTGTGACTTTCCGCTCCATTTAGCCAATTTTACAGCATTTTGCCTGCTCACTGGAAAATATTTACTTATGCATTTTGTCATAACAAAAGGTTATGGTTTAACTCCATTTACACAAAAGGTAGGGGCCTGAGCGCAGAATAGTTTGTCATATCAAAAAGCTGTAACATAGATCATCTGTAATTTCACATTTTTAGCTTTTAAAAGTAGAATTGTTTAAAAAAATTGGTATGCATGAACAAAACATTGAATACTCTTGCTTTTAGCTCTAATCAAGTGATAACTACAAACATCCTAAATGCACTTTTCAACCCTTATCTTACAGGAAGTTGTGTTTATCCTTTGTCTTTGCAGAGTGCTGTCTATCTGTGATGTTCTTTTCACTTAGTTCCCCCTGATTTAAACTTGTAGCTATTTTTAGAACAGGCAGAGACTATAAGGGACGAGCAACTCAATTCAAGCCCTGGACTATAAGCTAATAAATTAAGCTGGCAACCAGTTTTCAGACAGATAAGACACGTTACCCTGGGGATTCAGGTGAAAAGAAAGTCTGCAAACTTAAACAGACCAAAGAGGTCACAAAGAAGTCAACCCTCCTCAGGCAGCAATGCTTGAAGCTGTTATTACCTGGCTTTCACACTCATCCAATAAAGGGTTAGCAGATTGAGAAGAGGAGGTGCAGCCAAACTGCTGCAAAACTATTTAAATTGTCTGAATTAGACACACCATAGAGGCACCAGCCAGCCTCCACCTATCACCTTCCTTCGCTGTCTCCTTTGACACAACATGCAAAGTACAAACATCCAGAAAAGAAAGACTATAAGAAAGTGGAAGATTTTAGTTACGTGATATCATGCAAAAATAATAGTACAGGATTACATTTTGTTAAATAAGAAATGTAACCTTATGCAGAGGTGCATACTTCCAGTTTCTGCTTTGAAAAACATGTCTCTGTCTAAAAGAATATGTTTTTTTTACTCAAAATTAACAAAAACAGGAGAGTATTTTTCTTTTATAAAGACAGCAACTAAGCAGTCATTAAATAATGTGCAGCTGCACCGGAAAGCCATTAACAGGCTCCTTTGTCCCGCCTGAAACAGCACTGCTTCAAGTCTTCTGTTTGCACCGGTTCACTTCTTACAAACTGAAAACACACATCTGTGGGAGGACCACACAATGATGCACTATTTGGATGGACATCCAGCTTAGATAATGCCTGGTTATGACAAAAACAGTGGTTTAATCTATGACAACATATGCTTGTTATTATGAGCATTACAAGTAAAAGTTGAGTCTTTTGTTTTCAAAGCTCTCTGAATTCTTAAAAAAATAACCTATGTTGAAAGAAGTTTAGTATCACTCCAGAATATGAAAGTTTTCCACCACCAACTCCTAAAAACAGCAAAAGTTTTAGGAATAAGCAAACACTCAAACTTAAACAGAGGACTACATTGTATGTCTTACAGGGGCTCCTATGGCACTGCATACCCTCTGAAAGAAACTGTCAAACTCACTGTTTAGTAATGAAAGGAAAACGTCCCAGATGAAGTTGTTTAGTCCTCTCCAGGATCTTCGGACGAAATGCAAACCTTCTTTTCCTTCACTAACACATTTACAAGCAGTCCTGGGTGTTTCACGCTTGCTGCTGTCCTGAACAACTTGTGTGTGAATGTGTGTGTCTCCGCCTGGAGTGTGTGCTCAGAGTCTGGGGAAGAGGTGGTAACTTCCTCTCAAACTTGGAGACTGAGTGAGTAACAGAGTTTTTCCCTCTCCCGGCTTGGGTGCACAAGGAGCAGGAAAAGCTGTCATACTATCCCTCCTTCAGATGGAAAAAAAAAGAGGAACAGCCTAAAAAGGGCAAACTCTAGGAAGAAGGGAGGGATAAGAGTGTGTTAGTGTGTGTTTGTGTGCTGGCGTGTCAGTGTGGGTGTTTGGGGGGCTTTCCCTTTGTTTCTAAGGAAAAAAGGCAACCCTTAGGCAAATAGGCCAAGTCTCCCCATGCTGAGTCCAAGGTTATTAGGATGGGAGAAAAAACACAAACAAAGTAGTGTTGTGCTCTTCTTATGTTATATTTTGCTAAAAGAGAACTTGGGTCTTGGGCTCTGTTATTTGTATACATGTACTTAATAATTAATAGAATTAAATTTCTCTTTTCTCTCGGATGGTTTAAAAAAAAACAGACATGCTAATGATGAAAACCCATAAAATGTCATGTTATAAACAGAATTGGGTCTTTTATAGCTTTAAAAAAGAAAAAGGCAGGATCCAAATCCATTCTTAAAATTCTTTTAGAGAGAGCCTCAGAAGGAGTAAAACTGTGCAACAAGCGTGAAACTGACTACCTGCAGCTTTCTGATGGACTTTTATGGCGTAGGTATGGCATAGGCAACATTATTGCAGTAATCAATTCTACTTAAGATAAATGCACAAATTTGTTTGTTCTAGATTCTGCTTGGACATTAGTAATTTAATCCTCGAAGTGTTCATCAGCTGATTAAAGGCTGACTCATTAAATGCCTTTATCTGAATATGAGTCCATCATGGAACCATCTGATTCTCTTATTTCTTTTTACAGTTGTTTTAAATACATACAACTATGAAATATTGAAGTTGAATGTGTTTGAGTTTTAATATTTATACTTTATAAAGAGACATGTCCAATGATTTGAATTCAAATAACTTCAAAATCACAGAAATACAAAGAAATTCTTTACACATTTTCTAAAATGGTTATAAATATATCTAAAGCTATGAGGAGGAGCCAAGAGTAAACCCCAACACTAAGAAAATGTTGAAACATGTTTACATGTTTTGGTTTCTCTTGGATGAATGTGGTCATTAGACTACACCTCTTGGGTTCTTAGCAAATTTGACTGGATAATGTTGGGTAAAGGTGATGAACAACAACAAAGAAATGTAAAGATTTGTTAAAAGGGTGGCTCGGATTGTCTGAGAGCATTCCGCCTATTCAACACTTAAATCTATTTTATACGCTTCACAAAGCCATTGTAAATAATTACACACACTTCAAATAGTACATTTGATTTAATATTGAACTTTATGATCCATGGTGCTGACAGTATAGCCTATAATTTATGTTTTCAGTTAGAAACCAGAAACATGATCAACATTTGCTAAAGATTGCATGGCTCACACTACCTCCCTTTACTATGAAAGCAGGCTTTAATGAGAAGTCTGAGAAGCTTTTTGGTGAAAGCAGCCTCTCTGGGAACAGGATAAACATGTAATCACTGTAATATGTCAGCTGCTCTGCTGCAGGAGTTGACGTCCTAATTGCAAACAGTTTCTAGCTACATAAGAGAAAAATATCAGTCTTCACAATAGATTTGATCACTGACTGACCAAACACAATTTGACCTTGCCTGTAAAATGCATTACATATGTAATATATATCTAAATTTACAGCAGGCACCGTGCAGCTGATTTTAGTAACAGTGGGCAAAACTGTAAATATCTTTGGCCGTTGTCCTTTGTCTTGACCAATTTTAGCAAAGCCAATAAGCTGGGAGGGGCACAATGACTTTCTGCATTAATGCTTTTTTCTGTTGTTTTTTTTAAAAAAAAAAGGAGAAGAGAAGCTGAGAGTGGTGTATTCAAGACATTTACGAAACATCGATAAGAGCTTTACTCGTAAAAGCTCCACTTTCAGGAGTAAAGCTTTTATCGATGTTTCACCCCGTTGTGATGTAAAAGCATATTTAGATCCCACATGTTATACCTATGTTGGTTACTGACCTAATCAACCAGGCAGTGAAGAACCCTGGATGCCATCTATTGAAATAAAATCACATTGAATTAACACTGATTTAACTTTCAGACTCATCAGTCCAAATCAAGCTTTCTCTGACTCCTTCTTTCTTACCTCTTTGAACTTATAAAATTTTGTCACATTACAAATCGTAAACACATGTTATCTAGGTTTTATTTACAAAAAAAATTTAAAAAATAAATTATGTTAGTGCTTTGTGCAAATATCTTAAAGTCTTGTGTGCATTAATAATAAGACCTTAAGACAAGGTCTTATTATTAATGCACAATAGGACAAGATTCTTTGTAGATCCACCCAGCAGGATACGTCTTTCAACTTTGTTCATTGAGAGAGTGACATTTTTCCCCCATTTTTTTGGAAAGTAGCTCAAGTCACAGTAGAGAACATATATTATATTTGTGTCTTTTTGGTGTATCTGTATCGACTGACATGTGCATGCAGTCTCAGATTTATTAGTGCATTCAGCAGTTCTGCCTTTAGATCATGTTGGATGTAAGCACTGATGCTCACTTCATTTGCTTTCAATAATAAATATTGAGTTTGATTTATTCATATTTTCTTTATTATTGATAAAGTCATTTGTAGTCTGCTGTCTTCCTTGGATTTTATTCTGAGGTATCATATCAAACATAAGTTACACTTTTTTCTACCTCACATTTTATGAACTTATCTGTGCTGGTGCATTACTTAAATAATAAAAAACAAAATAAAAAAAATGCTAGTTCTTGATATGTCAATAGCTTTGAAAGAAACTGAGCTATTTGGTTCACCTGACTGATTCTGGTATATTAATTAAAGAGGAGTTGTTGGAAGGGAGTTTTCAGTCTCCGTCATGTCAGGGATATAATCTTTCCTTCTGTTACATTAGTGATCACATTCCTGTCTGCATCTCCTAATGGCTGGCAGAGATCTGCATATCCCTAGGGCTGATCTGTACCATCCTCTTGTTTTGAGGAATATGTAAAATTAAGCAAATGGTTAAAACATTGAGGAGGGTGGAAAAAAGGGAACACAAATGAGAGGGGAAGGAGTGAAAATCAGGCGCAAAAAAGAAAAAAGTCTAATTACAGGGCACCAAGGACTTTCAAGACACACGTTTTCCTGGATTATGTGATGACAAACCAAAGCCTGCCATTCAGTGTAAATACACGATAGTTGGTTGCAGAGGCGGCTACAGGCTGAGATACGTTCAGGCAGACTTGGGAGGATCCATTTGCAGATGAGAAAGGGTGAAACAAGAAGTGAGGTGTGTAAATCTAAGGCAGGTGGGAAGATCTAAACAAGATGCCACTCGTCCTAAAGGCTCCCTACTGAGGTGAAGTGGAGCATTATGGACCAAACAAGTTCCATAATAATACAAATTACAGTCTTTCACCTGGATTAGTGTTTGGAGTTTGTGTTCCATGTGAGCCTCGCCTAGTTTCCTAAAGGTTGCCTTGGAATGCTTTTATTGGTGGGGTAAATTGTAAAAAGGCTGTTTGAATAAAGAGTAAAATCACACCCAATACCAGGTAAGGTTTGGCCTGCTAATAAACAAAACAGAGATAACAGAGATAAGAGGCATCTACCGGCATGTTGTTCAGGAAAAAAAGTCTGCAAAATAGCCAAAATTCAAATGTTGAGTAAAAGAATGGGGATTTTATCTAAAATATCTTCTTTTCCCAGAGCTGAAATGAGGGTGATAATAACTGAAGCTTCACCTGCAAATGACTCATCTGTCCACTGAAAATTTTTATCCATTTGTGCAAATCTGGTGTGGAAGAAAACTGAGGTGTTAACACAGGTGTTAATGCAGCTTATCATCAAGCTCAGTTTACAAACTCTTTGGCATTCCTAAAGTGCTCACTAAATCTCTTGTAGATGGATGTAATCTAGTTCTTTGCTCTGAGGTTCTCCACACACCTTCTTTCCGTGGGACCAAGACACATTTTTGTGTTTGGCCTCTGTGCCCCCCCTCCCCATAAAATGTGCACTGGAGGCATCTGCCAAGAGAAGCAGCTTTTATGGGGCAGATGGGATCTCAGAGCGAGGGGCTCCTGAGCTCAGCTCATAACTCTGATCTCCTCACTGCTGCGATATTCCACACCAAGCATAAATAAAAGGGCATATGCAGAACTGTAAGAATTTACAGAAACATAAACATACATATATATTTAATTTTAAGCAGCTTGATGGTAAATTGTTCAATAACATCCTCCCTGAGAGCAAAAAATGTTTAGAAACATTTAAGCAAGCAACTGGCTTATCTCAAGTGGTTGACAAGTTTGATATATTTTCAGATCATTTGAGATAAAGCAAATGAGGTCATAGTGACCAAAAAAAGAAATAAAAATGCTCAGCCTTGTTTTTTCTAAGGGGAAGAGATCCTTAAACACAGGCTTTTAATTACATGTGCAATTTTATTAGTCTTTTGTGAAATAATGGAGAGTTTGTGATTTTATGCTTTCACTTTCCAAATATAATACCATTCATCTCCATCCCTGCCTTTCTTTTGCATGAGATGTTCTGGGAATTGGAAGATATCATAGAATTTTTTTTATATAGTGCCCCTTTGACCATACAACTACAATAAATATGTGTTTATGTATTAAATTCCCTCAAATTTATGAATCATTGCAAACTGAAACACAGTAGATTTGTGGTTTATAAAAGCCTAATTTTAGTTTACAAAATGATATCTGATACTAAATATTTCACAGAGTAAAAGTAGAGGACTGCTCAATCCATCCTTTGAAAGTAGAATGACTGTGACAAAATTGCCAAATTTACAAAAACATGGCTATCTGCTTAAACTAACATGTAATTTATGGCGTTTACACATTATGTCAAACTAGACTTAAATGGAAAAAGTCAAAAAGAAGTGTTCATTAAAGTGTATATATAGACTTAAAATCAACATTCATAGATGTACTACATCAAACCTGACAAAGCCTTAGCTTTTTAGCAATATAGGCTTAAAAGAAATGTCAGTTTCCAGAAGTGT